CCGAGGCCGATCCGAGGGCGGCGAATGTTCCCGGGCTCCAGCCTCTCCTCCCGGGGCCTCCTCGGGCAGAGAAATCCCAGGGGTGGCTGCAGGGATTGACCCGGGGGGGGGGAAACCCCAAGATTTTGGGGGTACGCTACCCTGAGAAATTATTCTCATGGTGAGCCCGGCACCTCCCCGCTCTTATTGGGTGCATTTTGACCCCCACCCCAAATCCAGTTTGTTTAAGCCTTTCCGTTTGACCCGATCGATCGGCAAATATCTCCCTTTTTTTTTAATTTTTCTGTTTCGCCATCCAGGCTTTGCATAATGTTGGGAGGCGCTTCCGCCCGGCTTTTGCTTTCGGAGGGAGCCCCTCTTTTTTGCGGGAGGTGGACGGACGCCCTCCCGGGCAGCGGCCGCCGGGTGAGTCATCTTCTCGGCGCAGAAAATAGCTCTGACACGGGTCCTGCGGGGGATTTCGTTCCTCCTGCCCGGATTTAACGGGGAGAATTTAGGGGCTGGGAGATTTCCAAAGTCTATTTCTTATTTTTTTCCTCCCCTCCCCTCCTGTGCAGGGCTGGAGGTGGCTGCCGCCAGAGCCTAAAGCTCAATTTTTAGCCCAAAAGGACGAGCCCAGGTTTATTAAGTCGCTCCTAACGCTGGGATCTCCCTTTTCTCTCCCGTAAAGGGGAAAACGGCGCGTGGGGGAAGGATGGAATTTGCCCAACGGCCCCCGGGGGCTGGCGGTGAGAAGTCCCACCCCACACCTTTATTCACTAAAGAACGCTGGCTTCGATTTTAATTTCTCCTTTGAATAACAATTTTGATAACAATTTTGATGGTGGTTTTGATAACAATTAATAGCAGCGTTGGGTCTTGCAGGAGCCTGGCAGGGATGCTCCAGTCTCCTACTGGTAGATGGGGGCAGCAATTATCCAAACTGACTTTATGGATTATCATTTTCCTTAGAAATCCTTTAAAAAACAGGATCCTGTGGCTCCTCTTCTCCCCCACGATGGGGAAAGAGCCATGGGGGGGGGCTTGGCTGGGAGCCCGGGGGCCGGGGGAGGCTCTGGGCAGCCGGGAGGCTGGTAGAGAAACTGGTGGTATTTTCCAGCTCTTGGG